GATATTAATTATTATTTTATTAGCCTATGGCACATTTCATGACAATTGGACCCATAAAATGAGTCGCCGCAATTTACGTGACTTGGCTCCCTGCCATCATATGGTGCCAATTTCTTCGCGTGCTTGTAAAACAAAATTTTTATGATTTGTCGCGTTTATTGGCTTCCAATATCAACCAATAAAAGATAAAAATATTGCTATCTTACATCATTATGTACCGCAACAATTTCTTCCTCTGACATTTTATTGTTGATGAAAACATTTACTAAATTTTAATTCGTTTTTGCCGGCTTTCATCATAGCTATAATTAGTAATGAGTGGCTGTCGTAAATTTGACCGAGATTTGGTTAATTTACGTAACGACAATATAATGCTATAAAGAATGACTATGGGCTAAAATAGGAAAATTAATAAGAATTCTAAGTACGAAGGCGTCGCGTTAAAACACATTCTAAATAAGATTTACGACAACCGGCAATTATAAAACGAAAGTAGAAAATATCGATACCTGAAAAACGTATCGATACAGTGTATCGGGCCTGGTCGTATTGCAATATGTCGATATTGCATTTTTTTTTGACAGCCCTACTTCCACCCATCTTAACATCTCCTGACGACAAAGAGTGAAAGACAAACAACAATGGTCAAGGAAAACCGTCAACAAGGTCACATTTCCAAGGTCATAAATGTCAAAGCGGAAGTAGACAAGTATTAAATGGAATTGTCTCCCTTGGAGTAGAAACTGCGCTACACCGCGTTTCCTCGATCTTTTACCGAACCCCAAACTTTAACAGTGTGGGCAACGCGGAAATGGATATTTTTTTAGCGAAATTTTCGTGTGTCATCTTCGTCAATGTACATTTGTATCTAATTCTATTGAAAAACAGTACTGTACAGGCGGGCAAGTCCCAATAAAAGTTTTACTTGTCCGCCGTAAATTTTACTTGTCCCGGGCAATCGGACAAGCGCTAATGTCGCAGACTGTATAGAGGTCACAATTTTTATCCAATTTTGTTGAAACTTGAAATGTAAGTTTATAACCCAAAGATCTTGATTCCTTTCGATATTGACGCATATCGGACCATAACTTCATGAATTATGGCCCCTGATTGTACAAAGAACCTCGTTTTTGGCTTGTGGACCGTATAGAGGTCATAATTTTTATCCGATTTAAAAAAACGTATTATTATATCACCGTTACACCCTAAGGACGGCTGAGTTCGAATTTCGTGAAAATCGGCCCAAAACTGACAGACAAAATGGCCGCCGTTCATTCTCAAATAGTTTAAAAATATGGTATATCAAGGTTGTGGACCCTGTAGAGGTCACAATTTTTATCCGATTTTGTTGAAACTTGAAATGTTAGTTTATAAAACAAAGATCTCAGTTCCTTTCGACATTCACGCATATCGGACCCAAACTTCCTGAATTATGCCCCCTGATTGTACGAAAAATCACTTTATTTTTAGCTTGTTCTCTATCCATCTCTCGAAAATGTGGGCGTATTCTGCCTGGCAGCCGCTGGTTATCTGATTTTGTTGAAACTTGAAATGTAAGTTTATAACCCAAAGATCTCGGTTCCTTTCGATATTCGCGCATATCGAACCGTAACTTCCTGAATTATGGCCCCTGATTGTACGAAAAATTGCGTTTTTAGCTTGTGGACCCTATAGAGGTCATAATTTTTATCCGATTTAAAAAATCGTATTATTATATCACTGTTACACCCTTAGGATGACTGAATACTTGAAACTTGAAATGTAAGTTTATAATCCTAAGATCTTGGTTCCTTTCGATATTCGCTCATATCGGACCGTAGCTTCCTGAATTATGGCCCCTGATTCTACGAAAAATCACGTTTTTAGCTTGTGGACCCTATAGAGGTCATAATTTTTATCCGATTTAAAAAACGGATTATCATATCATCGATACACCCTCAGGATGGCTGAGTTCGAATTTCATGAAAATCGGCCTAAAATTGACAGACAAAATGGCCGCCATTCGTTCTCAAATAGCGTAAAAATATGGTATATCAAGGTTGTGGACCCAATAGAGGTCACAATTTTTATCTGATTTTGTTGAAACTTTTAATGTAAGTTTATAAACCAAAGATCTTGGTTCCTTTTGATATTCGCGCATATCGAACAGTAACTTCCTGAATTATGGCCCCTAATTGTACGAAAAAACGTATTATTATATCATTGTTACACCCTAAGGACGACTGAGTTTGAATTTCATGAAAATCGGCCCAAAATTGACAGACAAAATGGCTGCCGTTCGTTCTCAAATAGCGTAAAAATATGGTATATCAAAGTTGTGGACCCTATAGAGGTCACAATTTTTATCCGATTTTGTTGAAACTTGAAATGTAAGTTTATAACCCAAAGATCTCAGCTCCTTTCAATATTTGCGCATATCGGACCATAACTTCCTGAATTATGGCCTCTGATTGTACGAAAAATTGCGGTTTTAGCTTGCTGACTCTATAGAGGTCATATTTTTTACCCGATTTAAAAAAACGTATTATTATATCACCGTTACACCCTAATGACGGCTGAGTTCGAATTTCGTGAAAATCGGCCCAAAACTGACAGAGAAAATGGCCGCCCTTCGTTCTCAAATAGCCTAGAAATATGGTATATCAAGCGTGTGGACCCTATAGAGGTCACAATTTTTATCCGATTTTGTTAAAACTTGAAATGTAAGTTTATAATACAAAGATCTTGGTTCCTTTCGATATTTGCGCATATCGAAATGTACGAAATCACCGAAGTGGTTAATTTTTGAAATTTTGTCGTAACATTAACAATAATTACCGGATTTTAACATTTGATACATTTTGACATTGGCAGAAACAAGGCACGTAGCTACGGTTCTTTAGATTGTTGATTTTCGATGAATCTTCGGAGATATTAGGTGCCAAATTTTGAAAATTTAAATTTTTACAAAAAAATTTTTTATTAATGAATATTTTTTGATGATATTTTATTCAGGGCTAAAGGGTTGTCTGATTTGAGCGAAAATGTCAACAATTTTTGTATAAATAATTTTCCTTGGCCGCTATTGGCTAATTCAGTTTTACGCTCCTAGATTCATTAATGATCGTTCGATTTGTTTGAAACAAAGTTCATATGCTCCGTTTTCCAAAATGTCAGTTTTTTTTTTACCGATAAAATTTCCTGTCGACACCGGAAGTGGCATAATTTCAACAAAAACTATAATTTTGACAGTTCGGTACCACTTTGAAAGCAAATATTTTTTCAAAATTTGTTATTACCAAATCGATGCGCAATGCAAAGGCGCACAAAACATCGGACTCAGTTTTTTTAATTTCGATTTCATTTTCGGGCTATTTCTATTAAAAGGTGAAAAAAGGTGTAAAATTAAGCTATTTACAACCCATTCAGCGTCTTAATATTTTAAAATATTTCTTTGTAACTTTCATAAACTCATAGCATAAATCCATACGAAAAGAATGTATGTGAAAATTAGTTTGTAATATGAGCAGTTGCCGAGAAATGGGCAATTTTGCATGAGTGACTTTTTACGCTAGTTTGCCTGTAAAAGAGTCAATTATTATTAGATTTCCATAAAAAATGACACCATTTGATGTGTAATGTCAATATTAACTAGGTCAAGCCAATTTAACATTTTCAATGTCACCGGAAATGACTGAATTTGGGCAAAAACTGTATTTAGACCCATTAAAACCAATAATTTATTCAAATGAGTCGTATTTGTTATTTGTTTTTAATTTTGATATTTGATTCCAATCAACTAATAGAATGGACCCATACGATCATATAGATATCACAATTTAACACTTTTACTGTCACCGGAAGTAACGTCATATTGGCAAAAACTGTATTTTTTAGCCTTCAAAACAAATATTTTATTCAAATGAGTCTGATTTGTAATGTTTTTAAAATTATATTTGATTCCAATCAACAAATAGATTGAACCCACGCGATCATACAGATACCAAAAAATGGTTTCTAACTTGTACGGCTGCAGAGAAATAGACGATTTTCTACAAGTCACTTTTCAAGGTTTTTGTTCTATAAAAGTGGCAATTATTATTCGATTTACATAAAATTTTCACCATGTGATGCCTTTTGCCATTTCTGATTTCATAAAACTAATTGAACATTTTCATTATTACCGGAAGTACTGTACACTTACAAGTAACAAATGTATAAAATGAATTGATATTGCTGGATTTGGTTGATTCTGCGTACATTTTATTTGATGTGTGCTTATGTGGAAAATTGTTTAATGGTTTCATTGGTACCGAAAGTGACAAATGTTTAAGGGTAATGTGGCACCGGTGAAACCCGTCATTACTGCATCACAGTTCTAGTTTTTTTTTGTCTTTGTTTTTAAACTGATCACTGTGTTACATGTTGAATAATAAATGAAATATTAAATCATATTTCCAAAGTCGTAACTTATTTAATGATGGTTGTTGGAGAGATGGACTTTAGCGGTCACTCGACCCTAGGTTATTTCAATAATTGTCTTGTGCATAGGGCTTTAGCAGTGGGGGTAAATGATAGTCCTTGGCAAAACCCACAACGTTAGACAGGTGACCCACTTTTGTGCTTGTCACATACATAACTAACATCCACATTTTCATTTGTATTTGAAGTTGATAGCTCCTTGGGATGGTTAAAGCAATTTTTTATCCCTGATTACTTAACAATACATCACGATTCAAAGGGAATTTGATGTGGTCAATGTTACCAACTCTTTTTACCCAGGATATGTAATATATTTTTTTTTATTAGATGGTACAATCAACAGGTCAAAAACTGTACAAGGCAAATAGATGTACAATATTAGGAATTAATTTCCAAAGAAATTTGATGTGGTCAATGTTACCAACTGTACAAGGCAAATAGATGTACAATATTAGGAATTGATTTCGCATTTTTTTTATGAGTATTGTTTTATAGAACTTTAATATGTGTTTTTGGTCATTGTTACTCGCAGACTCATTTTGAGAGATGTTGTAAAATAAATTACATCTTTTTACAGATACCACCATAGATAATACCGTATGATTGCCGACTCATGAATTCTCGACGTTATGTTGCGAAACGCGTGAAACGGCGAGAAAGGTGGTTGATCACTTCCGGTCTTCTGTTCTCGCTGTTTGTTTACTATAGGCCCAGTAGCGATATTTTTATTTAGCGCTTTCTTGTAGTATTAAATGTGGCATCATCTGGTTAAATGGTAACGAGAAATAGAAGCAATGTTCGAGGTAAGAATAAAAATGAATATCTTATAATTTTGATATTATATTGTATTATAAATAAGTATTACATTTCATGAAAATCTCGACACGTGTGTTGTCCAGTTAAGGCAAAGTTTGACAGCTTTGACCTACTTTTAAAAATCGGCAAAATAGAGTTTTCAATTCATTAATTTGTAAAATAATACTTGCAGATCATTAATAAATCGTAAATATATAAAATACAGTTTGGTATGAATAATAACATTGCTGTGTTGGCTATATATAAGCTTTTAATTACACAAAATTTTTTAAAAATCTTTTGTATTTTCAGCAGAATGTACTGGTAGTGGTACCCGTCTTTTGTTTGCTGCCTAGGGGAGTGCCAGCTTGTGAAGCAAATATATTTCATGTTGATTTATTGTGATACTGATAAATAATTGTATGTTTTATTTATGTTATTTACTTCTTTTCATATTGTGTGTGTGGGTGGGGGGGGGGAGGGGTATAAATATTGAGACACTAGACATTAATATATTGATAAAGTATTTTATTTTATGTATCTATTTATTTATATATATATTTTTTTTTTATTTCATTTTTTTTTTGGGAGGGGGGGATATTATTTTCATTATTTTATTTGTTTTATTTTAATACTCAACAAGGGATTTGGTTTAAATTGTTTGATTGTATTATATCATTATTGATTTTAATTTTGTATAGTTGAATTAAGCATAATTATTTAATTTTATGTATTTCAAACATCAGAAAATAAACCATTCAAGCTATGTGTAATGTGTTTGTATGGTTATGTTGATGGTTAAATAGGTTGAGAATTGAAGCCAAATGACCAATTTTCGCGAAAAAGGGATCTGCCAGTTGGTGTTAAAGAATTCAGTCAATTTTGCTCCAATATTGATAAGGTTGGTTTTGTTACAATGCTGAGATGTATGGCTTTTCAGGAAATAACACGGTTCTGGAGAAAAATTAATATTTAAAAATAGCTGCCAGTCGATATTTAAGGATATGGGTTTACTGTTCCATGTAATTAAATTAATCATTAAAAATATAACCTACAATTTTTGTTTCAATTAAATAAGTTAATCTTAACAATAATATTAGACTATTGCATTTTTTGATTTAAATAATTTAATCTTATCAGTTGAGGAAGAAAGAGTTGGTATTTCAATCTAATAAGGTGCCTATAAATTATATAATTATTCATCCAATTATGTAACATTAACATTTATCATAAAAGTATTGTTAATTAAAGATGCGTTTTTAAATGTTAAACAGGCATGATGTAAGAGCTAAATCTGCTTATTGCAGGTCTTTCTTTGGGCCTTAATGTTATGTAAATTATCAATTAGACATTTATTAACATGAAAAGACCATAATCAACTCTCGATGCCATCTGATTGCTCAGATTTTAAATAGATTAGAACGGTATGGTGGTAAATTTTCAATATATTCAATTTGCATTATCTATTTTTGAAATGTTATAGTTAATAACGAGAACGACCAGCTCTTTATCTAAATCTTACATAATTCCCCTTCAAATTTATGTCTATTGTTATTGTTTTATTTTAATTTAGGACATAAAGAAATATATTTTGGTTCTCGCTTGGATGACGTGTTTTAATTTATTTTTTTTTTAAAAAAAACCCTAACAAAACAGTCTTGTTAATTACCCCGGTTACACGAAGTAACTCTGTAAAAAAATTTGACTAGATCTATAGGCTAATTTGTCAAGTATGCAAACAAGTTAAATGTTAATGACATGAATGATATTGGATACCGTAATCATATATTCATATAAACAACATGATGAGATAAATGTAGTGCCTTACAATTTTTAAAAACTCATCTGTTACAAACAAGTGATAACCTAGATCTAAAGACTTCGTGTAGGTATGTTTTGCCAAGCGCTATGAACACAATTTGTGCGGAATTTTGGCGCTATAGAAATGGACGTTCATTATATTTATTTATTTGGTTCTTCTGGAAAAATACATACATCTATTTAAACACCAAAAGTACTTGGCTGTACTGTTCAAAAGCTTATAGTTCCAAATTTTTAAACAAAGCATCTTTCACATGATGTAATTAGCTATTTATTTTTATATCGAAGCCCGAAGAACAGGAAATCAAATTGGTGTGGCCAACATTGAAATATCAGATATCAAGGATGAAGTTGCCTTTATCAACTCTTGTAAATCTTTTAATGTACAGGATTCCTGGAAGAATCTATTTTAGAACAAAAATTCCTTTTCATTGATAACTAAAGCAATAATTCCTTTTTTATACGTCCACATTCATAATGTGAACGTATTATGCCGTCGCCCCTGTCTGTGTGTGTGTGTGTGTGTATGTATGTATGTGTGTGTGTGTGTGTGTGTGTGTGTGTCTGTGTCTGTGGTTCGCCTACAGGGCGCAATTCTTCATGGATTTTCTTCAAACTTGGTATACTTATTCCTTATACCCCAAGGAAGATCCCTATTGTTTTTGGTGCATGCCCGACCCCCCGGGGCAGAGCCACGCCCATTTCTAGTATTTGTTTGTTTGTCGTCTACAGGCCACATTTCTTAACTAATAATCTTGAAACTTTGCATACACATTCTTTGTACCCTAAGGAACATCCCTATCGTTTGGGGTGCATGCCCAACCCCCAGGGGCAGAGCCACGCCCATTTTCTTTTCGTGTGTCTTTGTGTCGCCTACAGGGCGCAATTCTTACTGGATTTTCTTCAAACTTGGTATACTTATTCCTTATACCCCAAGGAAGATCCCTATTGTTTTTGGTGCATGCCCGACCCCCAGGGGCAGAGCCACGCCCATTTCTTGTATTTGTTTGTTTGTCGTCTACAGACCGCATTTCTTAACGTATCATCTCGAAACTTTGTATACCCATTCTTTGTACCCTACGGAACATTCCTATCGTTTGGGGTGCATGCCCAACCCCCAGGGGCAGAGCCAGGCCCATTTTTGTGTGTGTGTCGCCTACAGGCCATAATTCTTAATCGATCGTCTTGAAAAAATTTCATATGAATTCCTTATACCCTAAGGATGATCCGTATTGTTTTTGGTGCATGCCCGATCCCCAGTGGCAGAGCCACGCCCATTTCTTGTATTCATTGTTTGTCATCTACAGACAGCATTTCTTAACGTATTACTTCGAAACTTTGCATACTTACTCCTATCCTAAGGAACATCCCTATTGTTTGTGGTGAATGCCCAGCCCCCAGGGACAGAGCCACGGCCATTTTCTTTTTGTGTGTCTGTATGTCACTTACAGCCTGCAATGCTTAATCGATCATCTTGAAAACTTTTTTATACTTATTCCTTATACCCTAAGACTGACCTCTATTATTGTTGGTGCAAGTCCGACCCCCTGGGACAGAGCCACGCCCAATGTTTGTGTGCCTTTTGTGTCGCCTACAGACCGCAATTCTTAACAGATCCTTTTGAAACTTTGCATACCTATTCCTTATACCCTAAGGATACCCCCTGTTGTTTTTTGGTGATTGCCCAACCCCCAAGGGGCAGAACCACACCCATTTTTTCTTTGTGTCTCTGTGAGTTTCCTACAGGCCACGATTCTTAATGGATTGTCTTTGAACTTGGGCTATGTATTCCTTATAGCCTAAGGACGACAACTACATATCCCGAACCCCAGGGGCAGAGCCACGCCCAATTTTTGTGTTTATCGTTTACATGCCGGAATTATGAATGGATCAACTTGGTATTTGGCACATGTATTCCTTATAGCCTAAGGGCATCAACTATTGATTTTGGTGAATGCCCCGACCCCCAGGGGCAGAGACACGCCCAATTTTTGCCTTTAGCGCCCAAAGGCCACAATTCTGAATGGATTATCTTGGAACTTGGTATACTTATTCCTTACACCCTAAGGACGGCAACTATTGATGTTGTCATTTCAATAACAGGGTGGTACCTATTTATATTGTTTCCATATCCAACTCCCACGGGCAGAGCCATGCCCATTTTTTGTATTTATCGTCTACAGGGTGCAATTCTGAATGAATCATCTTGGATCTTTGCATATTTATTCCTTATTCTGTAAAGACAGCAACTATTTATTTTGATGCTTGCCCCGACCCCCTGGGGCAGTGTCACACCCACTTTTTTGTTAGTATTTTGTATGTAAATTTGGCAAAACAAACCCATTTCCTAGCCTTCTTTGCCTCTTATCACATTACAGCCATTTCATATTTCATTATCTTCCTATTAAAAAGTACCATATCAATCAAAGCTGGAATGTGGACGTATATTGCAGCGTTAGCGATGCTCTCGTTATTTAATACTAATAGTGTTTTCTTTTTCCTTATATATAATTGTTATATCTACTGAAGCTAATTTAATTTCTCAACAAAGCCTAGATCAAAAAGACTATGAAATAATTGCTTACATTGGGGTGGATTTATATAAGTAAACTTTTTTCCAGTTGTGCAAGCTGAAAAAAAAGTGTGTGTATTTTTTTTTTTTTTCAGGGGGGGGGGGGGGGGTCTGCATTTATAAAATTAACTAAATTAAATGACAGAGCGTCAGAGGGACTTAAAATAAATAAATGGCCATTTTCTAAAATTATTAATTAGGCCTAGATTGGAAAAGAATTTTGTAGGGATATTTACATCTTTATCAACTAAAGTATACAAACAAAGCTGAATTTATTAAAAAAAAATACACATTTGAATATAAACAAGATTTTTAAAACTGTTCTAATATACCATGCAATTGATAATAAAATGCAACATCTAATTTTATTAATCATACTATAGACAGGCCTATACCGTAGGCCTGTGTGTGGCACAGAGGTGCAGGTTAGTTAGCTCGCAATATAACCTTTTTCCTTCTGCAAATTAAATTGTAGAACATTTTTTTTTGAAGTATTAGAAAAAAAAAAATAAAGGTGTTTGAAGTATTATCTCTATATCAAAAATATTTCCTAATTTTAGTGTAAATTGGTACGGTACATGATTCATGAATGAAGAAAGGCATTTTTTGCCCATTTGTAACCTTTTTTCAACTTAACGTCACACAGTAGCTATTTCATCTTTTGCAATAATCTAAAAATATTTTGGAAGGAGATATCTTGTTCTTTTTTTTCATATAATTTTTATATACGTGTTCATTTTATTAATTTCATAAACGTAAGTTTCAAAAATGTCAATTTCGCGTGTCACTGTGCGTACGTACTGTCGAAAGCTAGACCGGAAGTAAACAACCCCCCCTGCGCAAAAAAATATGCGCACGAACCAGAACGCAACATTATGGTGACATATTGTCGCGTGCAGTTTAACACTTATCATTCCGAGTAGGGGTATCCTTACCTTAAATTATTGATCATAATTATAAATATTGTGGATGCCTTCTTCGCGGGGGTATGGGACCAGACTATATCAAAGTGTAGCCAACACGTGTATGATAAATGATTAATATTATTCAGTGAAATGTACTTAATACATGAGACTAATGTCTGTCAATTGGTCCTTTGCATTAAAAAAAGGCTGTCTCAAAGTCTGTTGTGGAAAATGGAATAGTTCTAGTATCGGCACTTGATACAATTTGATTTCATTTTTGGAGTATTTTGAAGAAATTTGAAATGAATTGTGATCAAAAATGAAAATAACGTGATATTTTTTAGAATTATCGCGATAAAGCGTAATTTGAGATGTCAGACCATAATTTTATCGCCTGACGTAATTATCGCGATATATCGCCATCCCCTAGGTATCGCGGCAACCTTATCTTTTAATAGACTTCAACTACGAATAGTTTTATGAACCATAAAGTGTTCTGAATGCAAAAAAATAGGGGCACCTCACTATTTTTCATATTCAATTCCTTTACTGTATTCAAATTTATGTCTGAAATATTCCTACAAAATAAGGTGTTTTCGTAATACAATACAATGAAAGTGTCTTGGTTCCTTTTGATATTAACTCATATCAGATTGTAACTTCCTGAATTATGGCCCTTGAGTGTATGAAAAATTCTGCTTTTAGCTTGTGGTCCCTCTAGAGGTCACAATTTTTATCCGATTGAAAAAAACCCCAACAAAACGTTGCACCCTAATGATGACCAAGTTCGAATTTCGTGATTATCACACCAAAACTGCCAGACATAATGGTCACCTCTCTTACGCAAATAGTGTAAATATATGGTATATCAAGGTTGTAGACTCTCTAGAGGCCACAATTTTGATCCCATTTTGATGAAACTTGAAATGGATGATAATAACACAAAGATCTTGGTTCCTTTCAATATTCGTGCATATCGGATCATAACTTCCTGAATTATGGCCCTTGATTGCATGAAAAATAGCTTTTTATACGCCCACATTGAAATGTGGTCGTATATTGTTGTCGCCCCCGTCCGTCCGGCATCGACAATTGCTTGTGGATGCTCTATAGGCTAAAGTTAATATCCGATTGACCTTAAATTTATACAGTGTTTAAGGTCATGTGACGAAGAAGCCTATTCATTTTCAGTGATTTCGGATAATTACTGCCAGAGTTATGGCCCTTGATCACATTGAAAAATCTTGTGGACGCTCTGGAGGTCAAAGTTAATATCAAACTGACTTTAAATTTAAACACAGTGTTTAAGGTCATGAGACGAAGAAGCCTATTGATTTTCAGCAATTTCCTATATTTACTGCCAGAGTTATGGCCCTTGATCACTTTGAAAAATCTTGTGGATGCTCTAGAGGCTAATGTTATCATCCGATTGACTTCAGATTGATACACAGGTCTTGAGACGAACAAGTATATTGGTTTTCAATGAATCTTTATACGTTAACATGGGGCAGAACTTTATAAAAACCAAACAAGTTGTTACTCTTATTCAGATTTTTATTGTATTATAAATGTCTCTTACCGAAAAAAGTAAAAATATGCAACCACTCTTGTTGACTGCCTGGACGATATAGCTGCCGTGGGTGTGTTTCGTTGCCTGGCAACCCTATCTTTGTTTTACCTTGTTCTCTATCCATCACTTGGGAAATTGGGCGTATCCTGCCTGGCAGCTGCTGGTTGTAGTGGAGGGTCACAATTGTTCGAGAAAATCATGACTCGGTGACAAACTCTAATTACCATAATTAGCATATAGGGCCTATTTGTAATACTTGCTTTTGACATTACTTACAGATTTTGATTCTGATTATGACTTGGGTATTTATTTTTATATTTCAGTTAATGAGTAAAATGGCTCCATTACTGGGTAAAGATATAACTGAAAGACTTTTCCTACCAAGATATTGTGAAATGTGTACAGATCCTGTCTTTAATGTCCGAAAGGTAAAAAAGACCCATTAATTTCCTATAATGATCAATGTGACCCGTGCTGGCAAAATGAGTTGGAATGCGCAAAATCTATTTAATTGTTGAGATTAACTTCAGTTAATATAGTTGTCGCAGCTCCATTGCAACCATCGGAAGAAAGTCGTTTTTTTCCCGCGATTTGTAACCCTTTGTATACGCCCCCGTTGAAATGTGGTCTATATTGTCGTCGCCCCCGTCCGTCCGTTCATCCGTCGTCCACAATTGCTTGTGGATGCTCTAGAGGCCAAAGTTAATATCCGATTGACTTTAATTTTATACACAGTGTTAAAGGTCATGAGACGAAGAAGCCTATTGATTTTCAACGATTTCCGATAATTACTGCTAGACTTATGGCCCTTAACTTAATCACTTCAAAAAATCTTGCAGATGCTGTAGAGGGCAAAGGTAATATCCGATTGACTTTAAATAGGTGGAAAAGGTGATTTTGAGATTATGATTATACATATGATTTTATTAGCTTTTCATGTAGATCTCATCATTCTTCTCACAAAACTTTTTACAGATTAAAAATCGTATGAATTTTTTTTTTTTGAGGTTCAAAGATGCGATTTTTGACTTTTCCCGGAAGAAAGGTTTTTCAACACTTTGAAAAAGTCATTTTTGGTGTTTTTTGTGATGCCATATTTCATTTCATATCAAAACTATCAAAAATGTAGATGTAAATTCATGAAATACAACTTCAAGGCTAATTATGTTTCAATTTTCACATTTTTATACGCCCACTTTGAAATGTGGTCGTATATTGTCCTCGCCCCCGTCCGTCCATCCGTCCGTCCGTCCGGCATCCACAATTGCTTGTGGACGCTCTAGAGGCTAAAGTTAATATCCGATTGACTTTAAATTTATATACAGTGTTTAAGGCCATGAAACGAAGAAGCCTATTGATTTTCAGCGATTTCCGATAATTACTGCCAGAGTTATTGCCCTTGATCACTTCAAAAAATCTTGTGAACGCTCTAGAGGCTAAAGTTAATATCCGATTGACTTTAAATTTATACACAGTGTTTAAGGTCATGAGACGAAGACGCCTATTGATTTTCATCGATTTTCGATACTTACTGCCAGAGTTATGGCCCTTGATCACTTCAAAAAATCTTGTGGACACTCTAAAGGCCAAAGTTAATATCCGATTGACTTAAAATTTATACACAGTGTTTAAGGTCATGAGAGGAAGAAGCCCATTGATTTTCACCGATTTCCGATAATTACTGCCAGAGTTATGGCCCTTGATCACTTCAAAAAATCTTGTGGACGCTCTAAAGGCCAAAGTTAATATCCGATTGACTTTAAATTTATACACAGTGTTTAAAGTCATGAGACGATGAAGCCTATTGATTTTCAGCGATTTCCGATAATTAATGCCAGAGTTATGGCCCTTGATCACTTTGAAAAATCTTGTGGACGCTCTAGAGGCTAAAGTTAATATCCGATTGACTTTAAATTTATACACAGTGTTTAAGGTCATGAGACAAAGATGTCTATTCAATTTCAGCGATTTTCGATAATTACTGCCAGAGTTATGGCCCTTGATCACTTCAAAAAATCTTGTGGACGCTCTAAAGGCCAAAGTTAATATCCGATTGACTTTAAATGTATGCACAGTGTTTAAGGTCATGAGACGAGAAGCCTATTGGTTTTCAGCGATTTCCGATAATTACTGCCAGAGTTGACTTCAGATTGATACAGAGTTTAAGAGCTTGAGACGAACAAGAATATTGATTTTCAATGAATTTTTATGACTTGAACAGCTAAATCCAAGATATTAAAAGTTTTGTATACTAAACGTTAGCATGGGGCAGAACTTTATAAAAACCAAACAAATTCTAATAATTTTCTGATAATTACTTCATGAGTTGTTACTCTTAATCAGATTTTAGTGTATTATAAATGTTTCATTACTGAAAGAAGTAAAAATATGCGACAACACTTGTTGACTGCCCGGACGATTTAGCTGCTGTGGGCGTATGTTTTGTTGCCTGGCAACCTATCTTTGTAATAATTACACCGATTTCCACAGGAACTGGAAAATACCTAGGTTTTCTCAAAAATTCCATTTTGTCAGAGCAATTTTGGTCAATTTTTTCATCAAAAATGGTCTTGTGCATGTTATATCTGAAATATTGAACCTGGTTGTTATACATTTTAAAATCAGTATCTATCAAGCAAGATTAACTTAAAAAAAAAGAGTAAAAATATCTATATGCCTTCTCAAGAGCTGGATATGTGTTCAATTTTGAACAATTGTCCGCGGCACACATTTGCCTATTTTTGGGGCATTTTGGTGACCTTAGTAAAATAAGGATTGGAGATAGGGAAGTAAAATTATGGGAATATGTCAAAAGTTTGTGAATTTTTAAAATTACATATTTCCAATCTGCCATATATTATCGATTTTGGTTGTCATAGCAACCAAAATGGAAAAAATGCAATTTTTGACCATTTTCAACTCTATTTACCATAACCCAATAGGTGATCACCACTTTTAAAAATAAGCATTTTAAAATATTTGAAACCCATGTAATATCAAATGATATGGATTGTATAAGTTTGAGCAAAATATTAAGGAGTTTGAGTGGTTTCCATAGCAACAACTGTATATTTTTTTTAAAAACGCATCCTTGTCCGATAATTTTCTCATTAATATTAATTTTTACATTATTTTAAGTCAGTAGCTATTGGGCAAGATTGAACAAATAAATAATAACAAAATATTTATATGCCATCTCTTTATACGCTGGAAAGGGGTTCACTTTTGAAAAACATTCCGTAATAGGAAATTGCCTAAAAAAATATTATGAAGGAATTGAGATTTTCAAGTGAAATTTTGTGTACAGGTCAAAAAGTTTGTGATTTTTTAAAATTGCATATCTTTACACTTGTATATAATTTCATATATTGTTGTTATAGCAACCAAAATGAAAAAAAAACACCTCCAAAAATGCAATATTTTACCATTTTCAATGACGTTGACCATGACCATAAAGGGGTAAAATACTTTAAAGAAAGCAGTTCATATATTTAACACCAGTGTAATATCAATTGATGGAAATTGTACAATTTTGACTAAAATATGAAGAAGTTTGGGATGTTGCCATGGCAACAACATTATCATTTTTGTTTTAAACAAAAGTGTCATTTTTTTATGCCCACATTTTCATGTGGACGTATTATGTCGTCGCCCCTGTCCGTCCGTCCACAATTTGTTTGTGGACACTCTACAGGTCACAATTCTTATCCGATTTTAACGAAACTTGAAATATAGGTGTATCTCCATATGATCTCGGCTGCTTTCGATATTGGCATGTATCAGATCGAAACTTCATGGATTATGGCCCCTGTTTGTACGAAAAATCACGTTTTTGGCTTGTGGACCCTATAGAGGTCACAATTTTTATCTGATTTTGTTGAATCTTGAAATGTAAGTTTATACCCCAAAGATCTTGGTTCCTTTCGATAATCGCGCATATCGGACCGTAACTTCCTGAATTATGGCCCCTGATTGTACGAAAAATCGCGTTTTTAGCTTGTGGACCCTATAGAGGTCATAATTTTTATCCGATTTAAAAAAAAAACGTATTATTATATCACCGTTACACCATAAGGACGACTGAGTTCAAATTTCGTGAAAATCGGCCTAAAATTGACAGACAAAATGGCCGCGGTTCGTTCTCAAATAGCGTAAAAATATGGTATATCAAGGTTGTGGACACTATAGAGGTCACAATTTTTATCCAATTTTGTTAAAACTTGAAATATAAGTTTATAACAGAAAGATCTCGGTTCCTTTCGATAATCACGCATATCGGACCGTAACTTCCTGAATTATGGCCCCTGATTGTACGAAAAATCGCGTTTTTAGCTTCTGGACCCTATAGAGGTCATAATTTTTATCCGATTTAAAAAAACGTATTATAATATCACCGTTACACCCTAAGGTAGATTGAGTTCGAATTTCGTGAAAATCGGCCCAAAATTGACAGAGAAAATGGCCGCCGTTCATTCTCAAATAGCGTAAAAATATGGTATATCAAGGTTGTGGACCCTATAGAGGTCACAATTTTTATCCGATTTTGTTGAAACTTAAAATGTAAGTTTATAACATAAAGATCTCGGTTCCTTTCGATATTTGCGCATATCGGACCGTAACTTCCTGAATTATGGCCTCTGATTGTACGAAAAATCGCGTTTTTAGCTTGTGGACCCTATAGAGGTCATAATTTTTATCCGATTAAAAAATCGTATTATTATATCACCGTTACACCCTAAGGACGGCTGAGTTCGAATTTCGTGAAATGCAGCCCAAAACTGACAGACAAAATGGCCGCCCTTCGTTCTCAAATAGAGGTCACAATTTTTATCCGATTTTGTTGAAACTTGAAATGTAAGTTTATAACCTAAAGATCTCGGTTCCTTTCGATATTTGCGCATATTGAACCGTAACTTTCTGAATTATGGCCCCTGATTGTACGAAAAATCGCGTTTTTAGCTTGTGGACCCTAAAGAGGTCATAATTTTTATCCGATTTAAAAAAAACGTATTATTATATCACCGTTACACCCTAAGGACGACTGAGTTCGAATTTCGTGAAAATCGGCCCAAAATTGGCAGACAAAATGGCCGCCGTTCGTTCTCAAATAGCGTAAGAATATCGTATATCAAGGTTGTGGACCCTATAGAGGTCACAATTTTTATCCGATTTTGGTGAAACTTGAAATGTAAGTTTATAACCCAAAGATCTCGGATCCTTTCAATATTCACGCATATCGGACCGTTACTTCCTGAATTATGCCCCCTGATTGTATGAAAAATCGAGTTTTTAGCTTGTGGACCCTATAGAGGTCATAATTTTTAACCGATTTAAAAAACTTATTATTATATCACCGTTACACTCTAAGGACGACTGAGTTCGAATTTCGTGAAAATCGGCCCAAAATTGACAGACGAAATGGCTGCCTTTCGTTCTCAAATCCCGTAAAAATATGGTATATCAAGGTTGTGGACCCTATAGAGGTCACAATTTTTATCCGATTTTCTTGAAACTTGAAGTGTAAGTTTATAACATAAAGATCTCGGTTCCTTTCTATATTTGCGCATATCGAATTGTAATTTCCTGAATTATGGCCCTTGATTGTAGGAAAAATCACTTTCTTGTTAGCTTGTTCTCTATCCATCTCTCGAAAATGTGGACGTATCCTGCCTGGCAGCCGCTGGTTCAATCATTTTTGTACGTTATTGATTATTTTGATATAAAATTTTGAATCACCCTTCTTCATCAAAGTAGCTAATCAAAAATTGTCTTTTCCAACACTGGCTTTAAATTCGCAATTGGTGGTGAAAAGGAGATAACATGACCCAGGATCAGCATTTCCTCCAGTCGATGAGTAAGCTTAATCCATGCTATCTTGGTTTTCAGTTTTCCAACCCTGGTAGTTATTAATAATGTAATAAAAACTGAGAGGGGTGGAAGGGAGATATGTCCCAGGATGATTAGAATCTAAATTAGAACACTTTCTTTGTGTAATGTTGATATGAAAGGGGTGGGGGGTAACTTCTGTGTCCCAGGATGATTAGAATATAAATTAGCACACATTCTCCTGATAATATTGACTGGGCCTTGGGGGCACTTCTGCTAACATTACATGTAAAACTCTTCATTTAAGTTGTTTATCTGATCACTGATAATTTCAGTGGTGTTGGATTTCTTACCAATAACAAACAAATGCTTTCAATTAAACAATTTATATAACTGTAGATACAAGGAATAGTCCTGTGTTGAGCACGCGAAGAATGTTTATATTATTTCATTGCGAAAAAACACTTCACTCCCAACAAGAATAATCTGCAAGGACGGCTAAAACGACTACAGAGCTTCAAATCTTGTCTACTTCAAAAATCTCCATCCATTACTTCAAAGTTACACAACCACAAAATTGCAGAAATTTTAAATGGAAAACTAAAAAGAAGAAACACACGGTATTAAATTACCTATCTCTAATTAGGTTAGGTTGCATAACATTAAGATAAAATAAAATTTCAAGAAAAAGAACCTTCACATTGGAAAGTGAAAATGAGAACAACACAAAAAAACATTCACATCAGATTCAGAAACTATAAAAAACCAAAAAAAACCCCAAATGGGCTCCCTGCTCCCCTACACCCATTCCACAGCAATGATACAGCTGTTTAATTCAGGCCAAAAAAAGTAAGCAGTTTTCTCCCATAAAATTTCATTATCAAGCTCCCAAAATACTGTACACAAAATATATCGAAATCAAATTCAACAACCCATTAAACAAGTATTCCAAACTGAATCTCCAAGAAAGTTACATGTAGATAACTTATATATATGATGAAAACACATCTTGAAAAATTAGATCTTGCACATTCAATATTTTCTATGCTACTGTTATACAAATAACATGTATGACAAATTACACAAATATAAAAATATAATAGAAAACATCTGCTAGGACCAAGATGAAAAAAAAAAGGCAATATAAACAAGAAAAAAATCCATAGTTGAAGTAGCTAAGTCTCTAACTCAATATCATCCAAAATCTTCGACATTGAAAACACAAATTATTTGTCAATTTTAATCAACATTAATGTTGTGATCTTACCAGGAAAAGACGGGCTTCTGATATCCAATATTTAAGACAAAATAAACATTTTACCATTGGTACACGAATCGTGTACCATAATGCGTTCAGGCCCATTCTAACAAGGGACTCGAAGAACGAGGCTAGACATTCAACAAGTCATGTCAAACGGTGACGGCATATTCATATCGGAAGAGTATGCGCAATACATACTATGTAGACCAGTGATGGGATTTCAAAATTTTTCTTGTCGGACATTTTTTTCCCGAAAATAAAGGGGCATAACTCTTATCGTTATTTAAGCAGACGTTTTCAAACCACAATTAAGAATCACGTGTCAACAAAATATTCAAATGTATACGTAATAAAAAAATATCTTCACCTCGTTATTTTTCATGCTTAATTCCCGTACGGTATTAAAATTTATGTCAATAATATTCTTACAAAATTACATGACATCATAATACCATAGAATGAAAGTGTGATGACTACTGTCGATCGGTACCTGTTTCAAATTCCCCCTAAATTACCGTATTTTTCGGGTCATATTTCGATACATTTTTCAGCAAAGACAACTTTCATCTCATACTCCGTTTCGATTTATATACGAAAGGAAAAATATGACATCCCGAAATTTATTTCGTAGTAAACGTCGCTGAAAAACTAGCGAGGGACACCCAACTGCAGCTAAATAATCGCATTCGACTGTAGCACGCACTATCGTCTAAAACAATTAACTAACCTTATTCCAATCGACATAGTCGTCAACATTTCTTAGCATGTTTATTTATTTATTTAAAAACATAAACCCCACTCAAAATATGATCATAAATCTGACAATATGCCATTAAAATAGAATCTTTTCTCTCGCATCAGGCATATTTGATTCGGCACGTTTAAATCTCTTAATTTCACGTGTCTCGCGAGGTGACCACTTTCATTTTGAGTTACTTTACTAAAACAATTAACTAACCTTATTCCAATCGACATAGTCGTCACCATTTCTTAGCGTGTTTATTTATTTATTTAAAAACATAAACCCCACGTATTAGATTCGGCACGTTTAAATCTCTTAATTTCACGTGTCTCGCGAGATGACTACTTTCATTTTGGATTTTAATGTGTCAATTCTTTGTTCATATTTAAAGGCAAACAAATACAGTTTTACAGGACAAATTTTTGACCTCACTAAATTTTACCAAATAATTATTGAAGTGCGTAATTATTACGGATGAAAACAGACATGTGGGCGGGTCATGGGGAAACAATTAACCGCAGCCTCAGGGTGGAGACGAAAAGTCGGGTTATTTTCCCTTGAAGTTATATTTAAATTCCTTAGGTATTTCAAAATTACCGCTAACGCAATTTCATGGTAACCGGTTTAATATCATTTTATTTTGTTTTAGCTTGTTCTGTCAATCTCTTTAAAAATGTGGGCGTATCTTGCATGGCCACCGCTTGTTTATTATTTTATTGCTCAATAAAACTATATAAAAAAAATGATTGTGCTGTAGGATTCCAATCATTGCATGAATTCTAGCTGTTGCACACATTTTATGCAGATGAAACAATTAAGTTGCTTCCCAAGAGGGGATCACGGTGGCAAAGTGGGTAAGATGCTTGCTCACTAGCCTGGAGGTCGGGTGTTCGATCCCTGCATTGGCAGAGAAAGTTTATCCAGATTTTCCGCCGTGGTCCCCATTGTCAGTGATGCAGGACAGAGGGCCTGACAAGGACAGCTGTCTAGTCGTTTGGATGGAACGAAAAACCAAGGTCCTGTGTACACATTGGTGTGCATGCAAAAGATCCCTTGACAGTTGGAATTCGATATAAGAGTAGACCGAAGTGCTGCTGTCCAGGCAAAATTTCATTCATAACCCACTGTATGCCGCATGCCCATCTTCATTAGCCCAGTTTGGAGCAGAACAGTAGGACGTTAAACCCCATTTCATTGCTTCCCAAGATTTAGAATATGTAGAACGAAATATCACATTTTATAACCAGTTAACATTATTTATAGGTATGTGCAACTAATTTTGGTGAACTCTGCTCTGTTGTTGGTTCAGATAACTCAGAAAAGTTTTTGGTAAGCACCACATGGTTATTTTGTTCATTCCCAATGAATATTCCAGAAGCTTTTTATATGGCCGTCAGTCCGATTGTGTTTCTTGTGAACACTATACAGACTACATTTATCATCTGATTGTTTTGAAATTGATGTGTTAACATAGTTAGATGGCAAAGCATTAATTTCTTCTGGAGTTATGGCCCTTGTTTCCCTTTGTTGCACTTTGTGAGTGCTCTCACTGTAAGATGCATAGTGTGTAGAACTGATCTGAGTATTGTCGAACTGGATTCTGTGTTAGAATATCCTCAAATCAAGTAGAATAAGTTAATTGTGGTTACTATTCACGGTAACTTAGTATTCCTATAAATGGTTAATAATAACCATAAGGTGAGTATTTAATCCTTCCTGAGCTAACCACTTCATACCCATAAGAGGGCTATGCAAATATTGAGTAAAAATCTAGCTTTAGTCCCTGTTGTGAAAAACTGTGCATACCTTGAATAGGAATGCGACCACAACTGTAAAATTGCAGATGTATATCCCTTATATTATGACTTTTGCATATTTTTATACATCCACATTTACATGAGGACATATATTGTCGTCCGTCTGAACGTCCGTCCTTGTACGAAAAATCACGTTTTTAGATTGTGGACACACTTGAGGTCGTAATTTTTATCCAATTTTGAAGAAACTTGAAATGCATGTTTAAAACCTAAAGATCTTGGTTCCTTTTGATATTTCTTGAAAATCGAACCAAAACTGCCGCTCCTTGTACACAAATAGTGTAAAAGTATGTAATGTCAAGGTTGTAGACCCTCCAGAGGCCACAATTTTGATGAAACTTGAAATTTGTTTATCTTTGTTTGTCATAGGTCACATTTCTTACTTTATCGTCTTGAAACTTTGCATATTTATTCCTTATGCCCTAAGGAACAACCCTATTGTTTGTGGTGCATGCCCAACCCATAGGGGCAGAGCCACTCCCATTTTTATACGCCCACATTTTCATGTGGACGTATATTGTCGTCGGCCCTGTCCGTCCACAATTCGTTTGTGGACACTCTACAGGTCACAATTCTTATCCGATTTTGACGAAACTTGAAATATAGGTTTATCGCCAAAAAATCTCGGCTTCTTTCGATATTGGCATGTATCGGATCGAAACTTCATGGATTATGGCCCCTGTTTGTACGAAAAATCACGTTTTTAGCTTGTGGACCCTATAGAGGTCACAATTTTTATCCGATTTTGTTGAAACTTGAAATGTTAGTTTATAACTCAAAGATCTTGGTTCCTTTCGATATTCGCGCATATCGGACTGTAACTTTCTGAATTATGGCCCATGATTATACGAAAAATCACGTTTTTAGCTTGTGGACCCTATAGAGGTCGTAATTTTTGATCTGATTTAAAAAAACGTATTATTATATCACCGTTACACCCTAAGGATGGATGAGTTAGAATTTCGAGAAAATCGGCCCAAAATTGACAGACAAAATGGCCGCCGTTCCTTCTCAAATAGCGTAAAAATATGGTATATCAAGGTTGTGGACCCTATAGAGGTCACAATTTTTATCCGACTTTGTTGAAACTTGAAATGTAAGTTTATAACCCAAAAATCTCGGTTCCTTTCGATATTCGCAAATATCGGACCGTAACTTCCTGATTTATGGCCCCTGATTGTACGTTAAATCTCGTTTTTAGCTTGTGGACCCTATAGAGGTCATAATTTTTATTCGATTTAAAAAAACGTATTAATATATCACCGTTACACCCTAAGGATGGATGAGTTAGAATTTCGGGAAAATCGGCCCAAAATTGACAGACAAAATTGCCGCCGTTCCTTCTCAAATAGCGTAAAAATATGGTATATCAATGTTGTAGACCCTATAGAGGTCACAATTTTTATCCGACTTTGTTGAAACTTGAAATGTAAGTTTATAACCCAAAGATCTCGGTTCCTTACGAATTTCGCGCATATTGAACTGTAACTTCCTGAATTATGGCCCCTGATTGTATGAAAAATCACGTTTTTAGCTTGTGGACCCTATAGAAGTCATATTTTTTATCCAATTTAAAAAAAACGTATTATTATATAACCTTTACACCCTAAGAATGGCCGAGTTCGAATTTCGTGAAAATCGGCCCAAAACTGACAGACAAAATCGCCGCTGTTCGTTCTTAAATAGCTTAAAAATATGGTATATCATGGTTGTGGACCATATAGAGGTCACAATTTTAAGCCTATTTTGATGAAACTTGAAATGTAAGTTTATAACCCAAAGATCTCAGTTCCTTTCGATTTTTGCGCATATTGGACCGTAACTTCCTGAATTGTGGCCCCTGATTGTACAAAAAATCGCCTTTTTAGCTTGTGGACCCTATAGAGGTGAAGACTTTGGAACATAACAACTCTTCTAATTGCGGTAGAATGTTTAAACTTGATGTAGATGTTCATCTTGACTGAGTTCAATGATTAACATATCGAGCTCAAGCTAAGCAGCGATAAGCAATTTCCTGCTTTGGGACAAGATAACTTTGATTCTATCTGATAGTGATGAAACTTAGTGTATAGTTGATAATCAGTTTGATTGCTTGATACTTTGGAAAAAAATAGATGTGCGATTAATTAATATGTGTCATCTATTTATTTGGGGATTTCGGCGGGGGACATCAGCCTTACTGTTGGCTTGTTACTGCCAGAGGTATGGCCCTTGATCACTTTGAAAAATCTTGTGGACGCTCTAGAGGCTAAAGTTATCATCCGATTGATTTCAGATCGATATACAGAGTTTAAGATCTTGAAACGAACAAGTATATTGATTTTCAATGAATTTTTATGACTTGAACAGCTAAATCGTAATATTAAAAGTTTTGTATACAAAATCTTAGCATGGGTCAGAATTTATATAAACCTAACAAATTCTAATGGTTTTCTGATAACTTCATGAGTTGCTGCTCTGAAGGGGGAATGAGGGGCAAACGTGTTTTTTTTTTAAATTTTATTTTGGGTTGAAATTTTGTATATACTATAAAGACCATTTAGTTAACTGATTTTTTTCATCAAATCTCAAATCGGACATTGGTTGCCATGGTTACCAACGAATCAAGAAAAAATGTATAAAGCTAGGAAATGAGAGAGAGACATTTGGAATCCACTGTATTTTTATTAATTTATAAGCATTTATATAATTGTGTGATTTTTTTTTAACGAAACATGAACTAAAAATTGAATTATTTACAAAAATAAAAGCAGTAAATACAAAAACTCTGTTATCTCATTCAAAAGACTTTAATCTATAACTGTTGCAAATTTCAAGTAAAAAAAATTAGTAACTTTTTGAGATCTAGTAATTTGAAATTGCATTTTCTTCCAAAAAAATCAAATCGGGGGGAAAAAAATCACATCAAAGTTTAATTTTAGTTTAACAAAATTAACATACAGAAGAACTTGTATTAAGCAAGCACTCAAGTTAAATTTAAAAATGCTTTCTTAATGGAGGTGCTCTTTGACTAGAGGTATCCAATATTGCCCCAACCCCTACCACAAAAAATAAAGATATAGATTGCATATGTTTCTTTATTCATGTAGTATAACAATAACAATACATGTACTTTTTATCTAGTTGTGAATGCAAAGTAGTCGCGAATACATGTTTTTTTTAGTAATACTGGATCTCTGGCCTCCCAATATTTCTTTTACTTTCACCATACTGAATCATAGCGTCTAAAAGTGTTTCAAAATGAGTATTTCCCCACCCCAACTATTTTAGCGATTACGTGACCACTTAATAAAATCTCGCAGCTTTTTGTGCTGACATAAATTAATTACGCTTGGGTGCATTGGGAGCGAGCATCAATACTTGCATTGATAAATTTGACCGTCGCTGAATCTACTTCTGTCATTTTGTACCAACCTTCGATACTACTTTCTACCATTGTGATGCATTCGCTAATATTTATCCATTTTTGTGAAGAAAATTGATGAATTCATTTTATTTTATCAAAAAAGCACATGAACAAAAAAACATCGCTGATTTTATCACCGATTTACAGGGGGTGTAACTCTGTATGTAATATTATAGGGGGCACTAAAACGTCTGTTTAACAACAAAGTGGCAATGGAAAAGAGATACTAGATGATCTTGACAAAACTCGGTACTTTCATTTTATTCAATCAGTATCAAATAATGTGTCATTACGCGTGAAAACAATGATCAGGTTAGTTGTTTAATAAAACAAAAGATTAATAAACAGATAATCCCGGGTTGATTGTTATTTTTACATTTCTTTTTACCTGATCAGTGGGGGTCCAGTTAATTGACTACTACTCACGGGATTAGCGGGAGTGTTACCAAGAAAGTTCAACAAGATGGTATCATTCAACAATGGCCGTTGAATGGGCGATGTTTTGTTGAATTTATTAGTAAAATAGTGACCGCTGGCCGCGTTAGAGGAGTGACCGTTGCACAGGTGCGTGTTTAGTAGGGGTTAAATTACTTAAAAATCGTTCCGGTGAGGGGGGGGGAGAAGATATTTTGGTGCTCGTTGAAGCAATTGTTCGATGATTGGGAGTGCACACCCGATCAAGTTCTACTTTAGTATTTTTTTTTACCTTAAAAGGCACCGGACTCATATGTAACTCCTTCCTTAGATAAAATCCTGTCTTGTTATTTTTTTTTTAGTTTTTATACGCCCACATTTTCATGTGGACGTATGTTGTCGTCGCCCCTGTCCGTCCGTCCGTCCACAATTGTTTGTGAACAGTTGTTTGCTTATAACCCAAAGATCTTGGTACCTTTCGATATTCGCGCATATCGGAACGTAACTTCCTGAATTATGGCCCCTGATTGTACGAAAAATCGCGTTTTTAGCTTGTGGACCCAATGAGGTCATAATTTTTATCTGATTTGAAAAACCATATTATTATATCACCGTTAAACCCTAAGGACGGCTGAGTTCGAATTTCGTGAAAATCGGCCCAAAACTATCAGACAAAATGGCCGCCCCTTGTTCTCATATAGCGTAAAAATATGGTATATCAAGGTTGTGGACCCTATAGAGGTCACAATTTTAATCCAAATTTGTTTAAACTTGAAATATAAGTTTATAACCCAAAGATCTCGGTTCCTCTCGATATAACCTCATATCGGACTATAACTTCCTGAATTATGGCCCCTGATTGTACGAAAAATCGCGTTTTTAGCTTGTGGACACTATAGAGGTCATAATTTTTATCAGATTTAAAAAATCGTATTATTATATCACCGTTACACCTTAATGAAATTCAGCCCAAAATTGATAGACAAAATGTCCGCCCATCATTCTCAAATAGCGTAAAAATATGGTATATCAAGGTTGTAGACCCTATAGAGGTCACAATTTTAATCCTATTTTGTTGAAACTTGAAATGTACGTTTATGACCCAAAGGTCTCGGTTCTATTCGATATTCGCGCATATCCGACTATAACTTCCTGAATTATGGCCCCTGATTGTACGAAAAATCGCGTTTTTAGCTTGTGGACCCTATAGAGGTCATAATTTTTATCCGATTTAAAAAACCTTATTATTATATCACCGTTACACCCTAAGGACGACTGAGTTCGTAGTTCGTGAAAATCAGCCCAAAATTGATAGACAAAATGGCCGCCATTCGTTCTCAAATAGCGTAAAAATATGGTATATCAAGGTTGTGGACCCTATAGAGGTCACAATTTTTATCCAATTTTGTTGAAACTTGAAATGTAAGTTTATAACCCAAAGATCTCGGTTCCTTTCGATATTCGCGCATATCGTACCGTAACTTCCTGAATTGTATGAAAAATCGCATTTTTAGCTTGTGGACCCTATAGAGGTCATAATTTTTATCCAATTTAAAAAAACGTATTATTATATCACCGTTCCACTAAGGACGACTGAGTTCGTATTTCGTGAAAATCGGCCCAATACTGACAGACAAAATGGCCGCACTTCGTTCTCAAATAGCGTAAGAATATGGTATATCAAGGTTGTGGACCCTATAGAGGTCACACTTTTTATCCGATTTTGTTGAAACTTAAAAAGAAGTTTATAACCCAAAGATCTTGGTTCCTTGCGATATTCGCGCATATCGAATTGTAATTTCCTGAATTATGGCCTTTGATTGTAGGAAAAATCACTTTCGTTTTATCTTGTTCTCTATCCATCTCTCGAGAATGTGGGCGTATCCAGCCTGGCAGCCGCTGGTTATTTACTAGAAGTTATTATATGAACACCATATCATCGTTGAATTTAAAAATCATATATTTTTATAACCCATGTCTCTGTAAAGCGCGTTGAGACTTTGCCATGCATTTTTAGTGATATTTATGTTTGTAGAATGCGCTATATTAAGAATGTATTATTATTATTATTTAGTGTATTACTATTATGAATGTTTCATTACCAACAATAGAAGAAATATGCGACAACTCTTGTTGACTGCTCGAACGACATAGCTGCTGTGGGCTTATGTTTTATTGTCTGGCAACCTATCTTTGCCTGATTCAAACAAACTATACATCAAATTGAAGGTAATGATTTGAAGGAAGCGAAAATAACAATAACTCAATTTTCAAAATTTCCTCATTGCAACTCATTATTCCATGAGGGTCACATATGCATTAGTAAAACAAAAAAGCCTGTTAACCTATCTTTTAATGGATTATAAAACCTGGTTGAAGGACACTGAAAATTGCTTGGTGTTATATGTATGGCTTGCACCAAAGTTAATTGAAGGATGAGTTGTCAATGCCAGTCAAAGTTAGAAAGTTATTTTCTTGTATTGAGGTGTGATACTTGTGTTTAAGCTGGGCACCCATGAATATTTTAATAAGTTTTCCAGGTGGCTACTGCTCCTTATAAGTAAATTATTGTACTGGGTTATGCCCCTGTGTTTAAGAAAAGTATTAAAAATATCGAATACATTTCAGCTACCAAAATTTTATTACTTGTGTGAAGATGGGGTGTGGGGAGCAAGAAAAGCATGTGCAGAATGTTTTATGACTGTATCATGTGCATGTGCTCCAGAAGTTCGGCGGTTAGAATTAGCCAGTGTATTTGTTAATTTACTGTGTGATCAATCCAGATGGGTAAGTTACCATACATTTTTTATACGCCCACATGGAAATGTGGACATATATTACTGTCACCCCAGTCCGTTAATCTGTCGTCTACAATTGCTTGTGGATGCTCTAGAGGCTAAAGTTAATATCCGATTGACTTCAAAATTTATACATAATGTTTAAATTCATGCGATGAAGAAGCCTATTGATTTTCAGTGATTTCCGATATTTACTGCCAGAGTTATGGCCCTTGATCACTTTGAAAAATCTTGTGACGCTCTAGAGGCTAAAGTTATCATCCGATTGACTTCAGATTGATACACAGGTCTTGAGATGAACAAGTTTATTGATTTTCAATGATTTTTTATGACTTAAACAGCTAAATCCATGATGTTAAAAGTTTTGTATACTAAACTTTAGCATGGGTCAGAACTTTATAAAAAACCAAACAAATTCTAATGATTTTCTGATAATTACTTCTATTGTTTTTATTTCTTAAGTTAATGCTGATTGAGTAATAAAAATAAAACGCCCAATGAAAAGGAATGTTATATTTTCTAATTATCGAATAAAAGAAACCATGTTTCAACAAAGGATCTTCCGGTATTTAAGGTCATAGGTGAAAATTCACACCGTGTCAATGACTTTGGCATTATTCCAATATTTTCATGTTGTCACTTACGGCTAATAATTTTATGATATGGAGAGTGAAATGGAATCAGATTTTTTATGATTTACCGCCAGGCATATCGTGGAATATGATAATGTCGAAGAAATCAACTATTTATTAATTTTTTTTGAAGTTACGATGTGACGAATATGTATATACTCGAGCTGAGATCAAGCGTCCCGGCCGCCATCTTGGACATGCATTCACACGGTCGATACCACAAAACTTACGGCTAATAATTCTTGACTTTGGAAAGCTAAATTGATATAAAACTTTTAATATGTAATACAAGCTACATAGAGGAATATTACATTGTCGAAGATTGCAACTATATATTTTTATTTTCGACGCAATGAAGCAAAGAAGGCGACAATTCCTGTGATATATCCAAAGAAGGGCAGAAATGTCAAATGATGATAGCGATGAAGTGACCATCATTAGGGGCGATATTTCTTTTTAAAAGATATTTATATTTACTTTGAACACTGCTGCCAACGTCAGGGACAATATTTGTGTTCTATTTAAAAAGAAAAAAAATCTTAGGGGATACTTGTTCACGTTATTTTACCATTATGACAGAAAAGTCATAATTTTAGTACAACTGACTTTTTATATATATAGCAATATAATTGCTACTTTGTACAGTTGGATTTTATATCATTGGAAAGAACACAACAATCTGTACATTTTTGTAACAGAGTAATTCTTTGTATAACAATTTTTTTTTTAGTAATTTGTAATTTTGTAGAGGGTATTAGGATTAACAATAATCCATTAATTGGCTTAGGGAGATTGACCCTGCTGATTTAATTCAGCTTAGGGGTAGGGCAGCTAATCCATACATGACAACTATTCCGATTTTGTCGGAATCATTCTGATTTTCTGAGTCTTAATTCTGAATTCCGATTTTACTCTTTATAATTCCGTTTTTATACGCCCACATTTTCCTGTGGACGTATATTGTTGTCGCCCCTGTCCGTCCGTCCGTCCACAATTGTTTGTGAACAGTCTACAGGTCACAATTTTTATCCAATCTCAACGAAACTTGAAATATAGGTTTATCACCCTAAGATCTCGATTCCTTTCGATATTGGCATGTATTGGACTGTAACTTCATGGATTATGGCCCCTGATTGTACGAAAAATCATGTTTTTAGCTTGTGAACATTGTAGAGGTCACAATTTTTATCCGATTTGGTTTAAACTTGAAATGTCTGCTTATAACCCAAAGATCTCGGTTCCTTTCGATATTCGCGCATACCGGAACTTAACTTCCTGAATTATGGCCCCTGATTGTACGAAAAATCGCGTTTTTAACTTGTGGACCCTATAGAGGTCATAATTTTTATCCGATTTAAAAAATCGTATTATTATAGCACCGTTAAACCCCAAGGACGACAGAGTTCGAATTTCTTGAAAATAGGACCAAAACTGACAGACAAAATGGCCGCCGTTCATTCTCAAATAGCGTAAAAATATGGTATATCAAGGTTGTGTACACTATAGAGGTCACAATTTTTATCCGATTTTGTTGAAACTTGAAATGTAAGTTTATAACCCAAAGATCTCAGTTCCTTTCGATATTTACACATATCGAATTGTAATTTCCTGAATTATGGCCCTTGATTGTAGGAAAAATCACTTTCTTTTTAGTTTGTTCTCTATCCATCTCTTGAAAATGGCAGCCGCTGGTTTAAAATTTATTGGAAGAAATTTATTATATTTCATTGCTGACCTGGTTATTTCCGTCATTTGCCGTGTCTAATCTGCATAATTTGCGGTAAAACGACGGAAATAGCCGAAAACATGTCTCCAGTTTTCTCGATTATTTTTAATATAAAATGGAATAAGCTAATATGTCTGGACTAATCGAGATTAAAATGTCATGCGGTTATTTCGTCATTGGCCGTGCCTAATTTGCATACTTCGCGGATATTATTTGCTTCGCGGATATTATTTGCTACATGGAGCCATTCTCGCATACACTCGAACAGTACACGGCGGGTTTACCATTAGTTGCCAGTAACAACAAATGACCAAAAGCATATATGCATACTTTCGTATATAAATAGTTAAAAAAAAACCTCAGATGCATGGACCTAAATCACCAGCTGTTTTTATCCAATAATACAAGGTACTGCTTTAAATAGGTGCTAATTTCTCAAAATTTTCTTGGGTCACTTAGGCGAGCCCTTCAAGCCTCCGGCGCCTGCGGGGCCTCCAGCGCTCATGGTGCTTCGCACCGATCGAATTTGGACTTGCGGTCCTCGCTCTACCCTCAATACAAGTCATTCTGATTTTCAATCTCCTCGGGTTGGCATGTATGCTAATCTTGTAATTGGCTCAGGGTTAAATGGGTTAACTGTCTTCAACATTGGCTCCATCGGCATATGGCATCGTGATAATATAAATACTTTAATAATTGTTTCTATCTTCATCAAACTATTAACCCTTTAAGAAGTAGATATGTTTTGACGTCATGCCCCCAGTGAGTGAATTATATGACGTAAAAATGACGTTATAACAATTTTTATACCTTTATATTGATAACATGTAATAACATTTACTAAAATTATTATAATATGCATTATTTGATTTTTATTTTCAAGTAAGATTGCAGCATGATCACGATTATTTTTTTTAATTATGATATAGTATTGGCTCAAAATCAGATAATTGCCATCCCCGGTGTAACGGGGCATTTTTGGGGTTATTGCAATAAATCAAATAATCGCCAGAAAAATGATTATCATGAGAATGGGGGCTATTTCAAATATAAACAAGATTGATAGATTCGATTCCACCTCTGACTAGTTCATTTCCAGTGTGGCGGGATATAGAAATATCATGTGATTGACAATTGCTCCTGTACAAAATTTCATCAAGATCATGTATCTATTTTTAATGTTTAAAAATAATTATTTGGACAGATAAAAATATTTTCAACAATTTTACACAGCACCTTCATAAGGGGTAATCACATGCAGTGTTATTTACAACCTGCCAGTGGGGGGAAACTGGAGGACCCGGAGAAAATCCATATGAGGTTGGACGGACGACCCTACTCTTTGTCACATACCACAGAAAACACATCACTTGACTCAATGACAGACCATGCAATCATCGGAATTTCCCGAACCTCCCCAAACGAACTACATTTATTAGCATCACCCATAAATATAATGTACCTGGATGTAATTAATAACAAAATTTTTTCGATACTGTTGAAGTGGGGTTCGATTCTATAATATTGGCCAATAAAGTTTCCTGAGATTTTACAGTGTGGTTTTCCCTTGTCAGTGGTGTAGGATGGAGGAACAGAGTCTAATGATTCGGATGGGACAAACAACCGAGGTCCCATGTACTCAAAATTAGAGAAGGCTGTAAACCCCATTTCATTTGCTTTTAGCTTGATATACTGACCAGAGATATAGTAAATAAACATAAGTGATAATATAACTGAACTGAATAAATAAAACAACAAAGATTAAAACCATTCATATTCAAAATTCCATATTAAACCTTAATTATTACCACTTTGGCAAAATAATTTCATTCGATATGTTTATATAATGAATAGTACAAAATGATAAATTTCTAAGTGAAACTGATGCAAATGGAAAATGAATGTTTAGCACTTGATAAAGATCTATTAAATGGAGAGCCTTTAAGACTTAATTTACAAATAGGCCTACATATTTACAATATTAATAACTTTTATGTTAGATGAAGTATACCCCACTTTTAAATTATACAAAGAAAGTTATAAATTATTTACAAATAATATATTCAAACAAGGGGACATATTTTGCAAATTACAAATAATACAATATTTCATTCGACTATGTCCATTTTTTCTCATATAATTATAAAACAATCAAGTATTAATCTAAATTATGCTGGTTTGGTTCACTTTGCTAACCTAATCATGATGGTGATAATGGTTTGGTTTACTCTAGTATTCCATGGACCTTTAGCAATCGATTATAATGGTATTTGGTCTTTTAAACAGTCATTGAATTTAGAAAGAAATATACAATGACGGAAATGTACATTGATGTTTCTGTGATAGCCTATCCACAACACAGAGATATGAAATTATGATATGATCGTAATGTTACGTTTTTGAATTTAAAAAAAAAACTGTTATATGAATGGGATCCACTATTTAGGGTTGTGCAATATACAAATGTGTGTATTTCTAATAGTTACGCATTAACCATTCAGCCACCCGTGATAAAATATATAATCGCCATACTGTTATTTATCGCGATAATCCTGAAAGTCGTTATTGCGATTAATCATGATAAAATAATTTGATATCGGTTCAACCTTTATTTTCTAGAATGGAAGGTGC